TCTTTGAGCCCTCCCCACCTTTCTCAGTTAGTCCTGGTAACAGGCCCGGGAACCAGTTCACTTTCTTGCACTCACCTTCCCGGTAAGGATCTGACTCCATGCTCTGCCGCTCACGCCAGACTGTCTCTGCCTGGCCCTTTACTGGGCAGAGGCAGATTGAGGAAGCGGACACAGGGTTGGGTCCTTTTCCACATTCATAGGCGTGCAAGGCACTGCAGGCTCTGATAGCTAATCCGTGTGGAGCAAGAGTCGTCTGGAGCTGTGTGGCATCATTTACGCTGACAGTAAGACATGACAGGACCGAGATCTGTTGGGATGGCTCTTGGTTGTTTTGGAACTAGAGACCTGTTTCAAATAAAACAAGGTTGACTGCCTGGCTGCAACACCAGGTACAGGTTACCCTGATTGAAGGCGTGGAGTCTAAGGAGAGTGAGCCGGGAGCGCCTCATCCAGGTGAGCTTTGTGAGGAGACTTGGATTGGCAGGGGAGAGGCTATGACATGCACCAGGCCAGCTTTCTGGGCTGTTAGACTCACTGCTGTCTAGCGATTCCAGGGAAGACGCCTGGACCTGAGGGGGCCCTGTGACCCATGTCATTTTGATTTGGTGCGGCTTAGGCCTTATTTTGAACACAGGCAGCCTTGATTAGATGGGAAGACGGTAGTGGGTGCTTTTAAGGGCAGACGTATGGAAAGCAACTGTGGTCCATTCACCTGTGGAGCATTTCTTCCTCCTGGCCTGTGTGCCAGGCACGAGACTAGACTCTGACAGCACAAAGTTGTGTAAGACACTGGTTCTCAAGGGTCTACAGTGGTGGCCTCCGTTGGAAATATAAAATGAGCCACTGAGGAAGACTCCTTATGAAATTGAACATTTTCTAGTGGCCAAGTTTTACTTCATTTAGAAAAAAAAAGATTTATTTATTTGAAAGGCAGACTGACAGAGAGAGAGAGATCTGTCTGCTGGTTACTCCCCAGTGCTCTCATCAGCCAGGGCGAGGCCAGGCTGAGGCCAGCAGCTCCTTCTGGGTCTCCCACATGGATGACAGGAACTCAAGTCCTTGGGCCATCATCTACCGCCTCCCATGTGCATTAGCAGGAAACTGGATTGGAAGTGTGGGGTAGCTGGAATTCAAACCAGGCATTCAGCTGTGGGATGCCGGCATCACAAGTATTGGCTTGATCTGCTGCACCACAGTGCCCACCCCTAGTGGCCACATTTTTAAAATAAATAATTGCAATAAGTATAGAGAAATAGGTATTAATTTTAATTATTTAATCGGAATATTATTTCAACATGTAAAATTACAAAGTAATTTTTTCACGTTAAGTCTTCAGAAAACAGTGTGCATTTTATACTTGTACCACCTCTCAATTTGTACTGTCCACATTTCAAGGGTTCAGTAGCCACATGTGGCTAATGGCTCCCATATCACATAGCATGAGCCTAGGGTGTGAGCCTCACATGTAAATCAAGGGTGATGATTCACAGGCGTAGATCAAAGATGCCCTCCGTGGGTTATCTTGGTGAAGCAGGGTGGGTGAGTGATGTTTGGTGTCAACAGGTATAGCTAGCCTTATGCTGCTGTCCATCACAGGCACCATACGGGCCCAGCACTGTGCTTAACGTTGGTGTGTGTTGCTCGTGTCCGAAGTGGCAAGGACTGTGGTTATTCCTGTTTTCTAGGTGTGGAAGCTGAGGCACGGCAGTGAGGCTGTTCGCTCAAGGTGAAGTGGTGGGGGCAGAATTTGAGCTCAGGCCCAGAGCTGATGCGTGTTTCAGTCTCTGTTGCATATGCTGCATCACAGTGATTGAAGGGGCCGGGGACTGCATTTGGAGCAATGCAAACTGTAGTCAGGACTTACGCACAATGAATTCCCCTGTCAGCTTTAATCCCCAAATTTATGTTGGTGCTATACTGGTTTGAAACCTGAGCAACTGACAGATCCACTCTTTAAATTGAGCTGTAGGTTTCCAGAGGGCTGTCTTTGGGGACTGAGGAGGAGGGTAGACTGGGAGAGTGAGGAAGGCAAAGAAAAGGCGCAGCCTGTTTGAAGTTTTGTTTCTTTTTCTTTTCTTTTTTTTTTTTTTAAGATTGATTTATTGCCTTTTGGACCACTTATTTTGAATAAAGGCCCTATCAGAGACAATGAGGAAAAAGCAAAGATTGATTGATTTATTTATTTGAAAGACAGAGTTAGAGGGAAAGACAGATCTTTAATCCACTGGTTTACTCTCTAAATGGCCGTAACATCCAGGGCTGGGCCAGACCAAAGCCAGGGGCTTCATCCAGGTCTTCCACATGGGTGCAGGGACCCAAGCACTTGGGCCATCTTCTTCTGCTTTCCCAGGCATATTGGCAGGAAACTGGATTGGAAATGGAGCAGCCAGGACTCTAACTGGTGCCCATTCCAACGCTGCAGGCAATGGGATAACCCACTGTGCCACAACATTGGCCCCTGAAGTTTATTTCCAAGTGGCGTCTTTGCACACGAAAGCTCTGTCTAAGCTTCTTTGTGCTTGTGGATTCTGCCCCTCCTGGCTATGGCTGCTGGAGCTGCTGTCAGTTCCTCCCGTGAGCTCAGCAACAGTGAAGCTGGGTGTGTGTCTTGCCCTTGCTCGGATGCAGAGACTTTGCTGTGTGGGTTTCCTCTTTCGCCCTATGGGAGTCATTGTTCTAGACTTTTCGATAACCTCGTGCTTAGGGTTCCGCACATCTTGGGAGCAGGGTGGAGCTGAGCTTTCTACCTAGAGAAGTCAGTTCTGAAGGGTCTGAGTTTATTCATGTCCCCAGGGGGTGATTCGTCACTGGTACCTCCTGCTGGACAGTGCCTAGCATGTAAGAGAAGCTCAGGTGGTGTCTGCTGAGTTCATGGTAGTCAGTGTCCTCGCGACTCTTAATCCTGTACACGGCACTGTGCTGAGGGCTTTTGTGTAATATTTAATCTTTGTGTCTACTCCACACGGTAGGTACCCTTGTTATTCTCACTTCCTGTATGAGGACACTGAGGTTCAGAGAAGTTCCAGTCGCAGAGCTGGTTAGTTCAAGGCCAAGGATTCAGAGTCTGGGCTCTTGTACCCTCACTGAGTGAACAGACAGACAAACGGGGTGGGGAAGCAGGACTGTCCACTGGTCTCTGAGCTCCTGTTCTGGGGGAGCCCCGGATCGGATCCCAGTGGAGGCATGGAGGCGTTCTGTGATTCTGCCACCTGTACTCCTCTTTTCTTTAAAAAAAAAAAAAAAAACGAACTAGGTATTTGGTATTACTGAGAAGCTCTTAGAAATTTTTCAGGTGTGATAATGATATTGTGGTGTGGTTATATTTTAGAAAAAAGTCCTTTAAGATGTACATTCTGGAATACCTAAAAATGAATCGTTGAAATGTGTGGCATTTGCTTCAAAATAATAGGGACAGGTGGGGAGTGGAGGGGACGTGTGTGTGGGAGTAAATGAGAGATGCCATGAGATTGGCCGTGAATTGATAACCGCGGAAGCGATGAGGGCTCATTGTATCCTGCGTATGTTTGAGACGACTCCTCATGAGAAGTTCGAAACAAGTAAACATTGCATGTACGTGCTGCAAGCGCGAGTGTATGTGTGGGGGAATTCTCTGCCTCTGCCCAGTCCACTTACAAAATTAATGTTTGTTTTTTTCCCCCTCATTGTGTGAGTCCAGGGTTTTGGAAACCACGTAAAACAGGTGTCCAGCAGCAGTGAGAGCACCTGGCCAGGCACCCGTGGCCACAGGCTCCCTCTGCTTGTCTCCTCACAGGCCACAATGGCAGTGGCCTTGGAGTCGGTTTGCTGAGGCCACCCGTTGTTTCTCTCCACCTGACTGTGGGGCTCCGCCCACATTTTTTCCAAAGACTTGTTTCAACAAGAGGCCTCAGCTCCTCCCTTGATCCTCCCCTTAGGACGGACACCCAGCCTTCCTCTCTTCTCGTGCAGAACGAGAATCCAGCACAGCACTGCAGTGGGAGGCAGGGAAGGTGCCCCCTTCCAGTTCTGACTTCTGACAAAAGAAGGGAAGGGGCAAGATGCAGCTTGTGTCGGTGCCTCATGTGGTGGCGCGCTCATCAAGCCAGCAGCTCGCGCTCCTTTACAGCGGGCGCACACTCCCCACCATTCCCATAAAGCAGAGGCTCCCGTTGTGTTTGTTACTTTGGGATCTGTAACTTCACAGCAAATCTGTGTGGTACAGTCCTCATGTGGCAGGAGCAGGACAGGAGGGGCACGCTTGGGGGTTTCTGCTGCTCGTCTGCCTCCCACAGGTAGAGCGGCTGACGTGAGCAGGAGCACTGGTTGGTGCGGTCCCGCAGAGCGCTGGTGCCGTGCGCTCCATCTGATGATGAGCAGTGGCCTTCAGTGCCCGGCTTCTCGGCCCCGCGCTCTCGCTTGGCAGGAGGAAGTCCCACAGCCCCTCCAGCTTCCTCCCACTTCTGCCCCCAGCAGTCTCTTCATCTCTGACCCTTGTGTTTGTTTCAAAGGCCTCTCTCGGCAATTCTTTCAGGTGACTCTAGCGTGGGGAGAACGTTAGGAGCACCGCCTCCAGTGGAGGTGGCTTGACTTCTGGGTTTCCCAGTGTGACTGCATGTCAGACTTGAGGATGGTAAAGGCCCTGCACGGCTGATTTTTAAACTTACTCATCCAGCAAGTACTCGCTGAGCTGAGCACCATTCTAGATAGGAGGTTACTGCAGTGAGCAAGAGAGACAACACTTCTCGCCCTTCTGGGGCTCACATTCCACTGGGGGGCAACTGAGTGAAAAAGCAAGTGTACTGTCATAGATGGCAGGCAGCGTGAAGGGAGCGACATTCCGTGGGGAAAGGGGATGTGAAGTATTAGGGTAGAGGGTGCTGACATTTTAGGTAGGGTGGCTTCAGGACTGGCCTGAGGGCGGTGAGGGAGGGTGGGCACTGGGGATGTCTGGGCAAAGGGAGCAGCCCTGCAAAGGCCCTAGGGTGAGGGGCTGGGTGAGACTGAGGGACTCACAAGAAGGCCCAGGGGGCTGGGCACAGTGAGTCAGGGGAGAGTGGGAGTAGCAGAGATATGACAAGTGTGCGGATCTCTTAGGGTCCAGCACAGATTTGTCTTGTCTTTGAGGTGGGAAGATATCACAGGGCTGGTTGATTTTTATTATTAAATTTTATTGAAGTTTGAATAGTGTGTGTTACAAAGGAACAAAAATACAGCACCCAGTTTCCTTCCCCCAGAGACTACCACCATCCCAGTTTCTTGCTGGTCACCAGTTTCTTGCCATTGCATTATTTGAGTGAGTTTCCTGTTTTATATTAGATTGAAGCACATGAAATGGCTTTTTTTTTTTTTTTTTTTTAGATTTATTTATTTGAAAGGCAGAGTTACAGAGAGGCAGAGGCAGAGAGAGAAAAAAAGAGGTCTTCCATCCGCTGGTTCACTTCCCAGATGCCCGCATCGGCAGGAGCTGTGCCGATCCAAAGCCAGGAGCCAGGAGTCTCCTCCTGGTCTCCCATAAAGGTGCAGGGGCCCAAGGACTTGGGCCATCTTCTACTGCTTTCCCAGGCCATAGCAGAGAGCAGGATTGGAAGTGGAGCAGCCGGGACTTGAACCAGCATCCATATGAGATGCTGGCACTGCAGTCAGCGGCCTTACCTGCTATGCCACGGAGCTGGCCCCATGAAATTGCCTTTTTTTAAAACAGTCAAGAATGGTTGAATGTTGACAATTTTATGAGGTTTGGCCTTACAGCTTCCTTTCAGAAGCAGGAGGAATTTGACCAGTGCTTTCTGGCCCTAGGCGTTGGTGGTCAGAGATAGGGACCTCCTCCCTCTTCCTGCAGCCCGCCCTTCCAGGGACAGCCCAGCAGTGTCTGTGATACCAGGGAGTGAAAAACCCCTGGCCCACTGGTAGCCCCAAACCTGGCTAGCTGGTAAGCCTGACAAGAGGCTGTCTCTTCCTGCTAGGACCTTCCCTGGCGGATGCATCTTGGTGCCACCAGATCACAGCTCCCAGAGGGACTTTGGCTGGGTGTTGGAAATGAGTGCCATGGTGAGGCTGCTCTCCGGTAGACAAGACATCTGGACATTCTGGATCAGCAGCTGAGCAGAGCTGCCTGCAGAATACACAGCTTGGTGTGTCCCTGAGGGTACCTGCTGTGACTAGAGCTGCTCAGGCCGCGGGAGGAGGCACAGGGTGCCGTGATCTGGCTGTGGGAGAAAGACTTTCAGCCCTTCTTGTTTGTCACACTCCTGTGCTGACCAGAGAGCTGTGTGGCACCCCAGGGCACTGGGCCTCGTGCGGGTCCAGCTCTGGGAGAGCTGGTCAGGAATGGATGTCAGTTGGAATGCCTTTGACCTCAAACAGTGGTCATGATAGCAGCAGCAAACAGGTGATTAATAGAGCATCTACTATGTGCTAGACACTACCAGGATCTTCACAGGAAGTGAGTCGTTTTTGTCTTCCGCCAACCTTGTAAAATAAATGCTTTATCTGCAAAAGGAAAAAATAAAAGTAACTAAATTTAAATAACATGCTGAAGGTCACTAGCTAGAAAATGGTGCTGACACAATTTGGAGCCGTGCAGTCTGATCCCAGAAGCCGTGCTCTTACTGCTTAGGCTCTGTGAGCCGCTGCAGTGGTTCTCAGACCTGAGCGGGCACTGGAATCCCCCAGGGGACGTCCTCAGATTGCTGGGCCCCACTCAGAGCTCCTGAGTTGGTAGGTCTGGCTGGAGAATTTGCATTTCTGACAAGCTTCCAGGTTTAGGTTCCTATTAGGTGCTCCTAACCTATAATAGGAAGCCCAAATGAAATTAGCCTGAAATAAGATTTATGATCTCATGCAAAAAATCCGTAACTGGGCATTATAGGGGTTGACTAAGCAGTTCCACAATGCCTCGAAGGGCTCAGTCTCTCTCCTTTGTGCAACTCGGCCATCCATGGTATGTTTTCTGTGTCCTCAGGCTCCTGTGAGACCACAGTGAGGTCTCCACTACTCCAGTCGGCCCAGCTCGACAAGGGTATATCCACCAGCTCACTCAATGTCGCGTCTGTCTAAGAGTGAGGAAACCGGGCTGGATCTGTGGTGCAGTGAGTTAAGACACTGACTGCAGTGCCAGCATCCCCTATGGGAACCTGTTTGAGTCCCGGCTGCTCCACTTCCAATCCAGCTTCCTGCTAATGGCCTGGGAAAAGCAGTGGAGGATGGACCAAGTGCTTGGGCCCATGTACCCAAATGGATGGACCTGGATGGAGCTGGCTTTGGCCATTGTGGCCATCTGGGAAGTGAAACAGCAGATGGAAGATCTCTCCCCTTCCCACCCTGTTTCAAATAAATAAGTGTATCTTAAAGACATGAAACCTTTTATTGATCATGGATGCCCTGATTCCCCTCATATATCATTGGCCAGAATTGTGACATGTGACCATGCCAGACCAATCATGAGCAAGAGTCGTCAGGGTTACTCTCTTGGGACTGAGGCTGGAGCCAGTCGTACCTGAAGTATGTGGCACTGGGAGGCGAGTGGCTATAGGAATGAAACCAGAGTTCTACTTGTACTTAGGAAAGGACCTAAGGTTTTTTTTTTGTTTGTTTGGTTGGTTGGTTTTTTTGGGGGGTGGGAGCGGTAGATGAAAAGAAGGATAGTAAGAGTCTTTCTTAATATTTTTCCTTCAGCAGTTGAGAATTTCAGCTGTGACCATGAGCTGGTCGATTACTCCCTGTTTCGAAGGCAGAAGCATGGACCTGATTCAGTCTGAGGGCAGCTTGTGAGAACTGCAGCTGATGGTTGTTGAGCATTTTTTGGGTCAGAGCCAAGTGCTCACTATAAATATCATGACTGCTCACCTCCATCCCATTTTACAAATGAGGAAGCTGAGGCACAGTGTGGGCCCCTGCCTGTCCTCATGAGATCATCTAGCCCGAACCACGAAGCTGCTCCGGCTGAGTTGACCCAGTCCCACAACTTCTTGCTGTATGACTACCAGCCTGTGAGTGCTGTTCAACTCTCTCGTGTGTGAACTGGTAGTGCTAAGAGTCCGTCCTTAGCAGCTGTGAGGGTTAGACGTCATCCAGGTGAAGTGCATACAGCAGCGCCTTTTGCACAGTGAGCACACAGGTTGTGGCTGTTGTTGCTGTCAGCTGAAGCCATTCAGCTCTGCTCCCGAAGCTGGGTGGCAGAGTCCGGCAGCCGTGTTTAATCATTAAGCTATAGCTAATGCCCTGGCTGCATGCGCAGAGGAGCCCACCCCTGGGTTGAGAGGTTGTGAATGGAGCAGCCAGGCACAAGCCCAGAGCAGGGGCTGCTGTGGGCACGGATCCAGGCCTGGCTCAGTCAATGAACAGGTGGCCGGTCCCTGAATCCGAGGTAACAGGCGAACCTTCTTTTGTTGTCTTTGAGCTTCTGTGAAGCCCATTCAGACTCCTCAGACCACGTGTCCGATGAGTAAGGTGTCCTTTTATTTCCCTCCCCCAGAGGGACTGTTGGCAGAACGGCCTCTTGGGTAGTGTGCCTGTTCATGAAGACCAGCCATCTCGTGGGGAACTCCGTTGGCTGGCGTGTTCCTGCAGCTGTTGAATAAGTCGCTGTTAGGAGCTGGCACGGCAGGTTCCCGTTTCCGCATTCCAGACACCCACAGCGGGGCTGGGGGAGGCACCAGTTGAGATCGCTCTGGAGAGCCCAGGCAGGTGGCCTTCGCCTTGGGAGCACCTGGGACAGGAGCCGCACCCGGGGCTAACCTGGCAATCACCTGCCCATCTAGTGATCAGGGCTGTGTTTGGGACGTCTTTTAGGTGAGTGATGTTTATTAACTTTGGTAGTGACTTGTAGAGAAAGTTAATACCGTGTTTCTTCCTTTCAGGAATTAGGCTGTTGGTTCTTTTGTTTTCTTTCCTTTTCTCCCCCCTCCCATGAAATGTTTACCTGTCTGTTCCTACGAGTGGAGAAAGGGTGGGTGGAGTGTTGAGGGAGTGAGAGGAAAATGGAGGACCTTCCTCCCTAGAAGAGGACTTGGTGACCCTGTTGAGCTCTTGCTGGATATGAACTTGCGTGCCATGGGCTGAGGGGCATTCTAGCCTGGTACGGACGAGCTGTGTGGTGTTGGGTGAATCCTGTTCACTCCCGGGCCTTAGTCTCCTCCTCTTATGAAATAGGAAATAGCATGCAATGAGTCATATTTGTAAAGTGCTCAGAGGCTGAGCACAGAGTGGTGCTCAAATGTCAGCTATCCCTGTGCCCCACCCCACACCCTACCCCCACACCTGCTAGTCCCTGTCTGCCTTATGTTGCACTGGACTCTTGTTCCTTCCTCAGGGCCTTGGTCCTGGCGATTTCCTCTGCCAGGACATTTGCCCCTGCATCCCCAAATCTCCTTCTCTCCTTCCTTCAGGTCTCTGCTCAGGTGTTAACACCTCAAGGAGGGCTCTCTCCTTATTAAATAGCACCTTCCCCATCATTGACTAGCCCTTTGTGCTGCTTCAGTGTTTTTTATGGCTCTTTTTTTAAAAGATTGATTTTATTAGATATATCTTCCATCTGCTGGTTCACTCCCCAACTGGGGCTGGGCCAGGCTCAAGTCAGGAGCCAGAAACTCCATCCAGGTTTCCCACCAGGTGGGTGCAGGGGCCCAGTTCCTTGGGCCACTTTGTGCTGCTTTCCTAGGCACATTAGCCGGGAGCAGCTGGGACTCAAACTGGTGCTCATGCAGAATGCTGGCATTGCAGGTGGTGGCTTAACCCACTGCACCACCACACCAGCTCCTTTCATAGCATTTATTACCACTTGACATACAGTTGTTATCTGTCCCCTAACTGTAGACTCCATGGAAGCCATGGGGACTTTTGTCTCTGCCCTTGTAGAACAGTTCCTGGCATCTGGTAGGTACAGGAAGTATGAGTTGATGGTATCAGCCACAACACTGTCAGGATGGGTTGCTGGCCCCCTGTGGGGTTTGAGCAGGAGGTCGTCTTATCCAGGGGCCTGCAGAAGTGGGGAAGGTAACAGACTCACCTCCCTTTGGTCCCCTGGGAGTTTCCTGGGATTTGTCTGCAGCACCAGTGCTCTGGCTTCCTGTGTTCCTGTCTGGCCCCTTCAGTCTGGGCTGCTGGGCTTTTGCAGTGGCTTATCTGGGCAGCCGGGCACATGTGGAATGGAACGGAAGGCCTTGGCCCTGCTAAGTGTAGAGAATGCCAGATTACTTTAGGCAGGAAAGGCTCTATGGAAGACACCACCCGTACGTACTCATGTGTATGGGAGGCCGACTTTCTCTCCAGGCCCTGTTTGGTGTCCTGCAGCAACAAGATCGGAGAATGTCTGGGACATAAGAATTAACTGGCCAGGCACAGTTTATCGGTCTCCCCTCTTTTAATAGGCAATAACTCTTGCTCTGTGGCTGAGCAGGTTTTAATTAAATCGTGAGCTCGAAGAGTCTGTAATAGCTGACATGTCCTCATTGGTTTTCTTGCTCCTGGTGTCAGCAATTGATTCTGTAAAAGTATCCTGGGCAGGGCTTCCCCAGGCTCCAAAGTCAGTGGCCTTCTTGGATTTCTCACGACTGGATGGGACCTGGAGAGGCTGAGGTACCAGTGGACTTTGTGCACTCATGGGGCCTTTGCTATTTTTGAAAGCCCCGCCTTCTGATTCTGGCTTCCTGCTGGTGTATACCCTGGGAGGTAGCAGGTGATGAATTAAGTACTTGGGTCCCTGCCATCAACATGGGAGACCCAGATTGAGATCCTGGCTCCTGGCTCCTGGCTTCAGCTTGGACTGTTTTGGGCGTTTGGAAAGGGAACCAGCAGATTCTTTTCTCTCAAATTTTTAAAAGTATGCAATGCAGGCTGGCGCCGTGGCTCACTAGGCTAATCCTCCACCTGTGGTGCCGGCACACCGGGTTCTAGTCCCGGTTGGGGCACCGGATTCTGTCCTGGTTGCCCCTCTTCCAGGCCAGCTCTCTGCTGTGGCCCGGGAGTGCAGTGGAGGATGGCCCAAGTGCTTGGGCCCTGCACCCCATGGGAGACCAGGAGAAACACCTGGCTCCTGCCATCAGATCAGTGCGGTGCGCCGGCCATAGCACGCCAGCTGCGGCAGCCATTGGAGGGTGAACTAATGGCAAAAGGAAGACCTTTCTGTCTGTCTGTCTCTCACTGTTCCACTCTGCCTGTTAAAAAAAAAAAAAGTATGCAATGCAATCTAATGTCTTTTTTTTTTTTTTTTAAAGGTGTGAAGTGTTTGTGTCCTTTGAACTCCAAGTGCAGTAGTTCTGGGCTTGAGTTGAAGGCCCTTTGGGAGGCCATTTCACATAAAATTTGAGTCCCAGCACTGCCTAAGCTCTGGGCATAGTGCTTATTTTCTCTGGACCTGTTTCCTTATCTGGTGTTATTAATTAAATTAGAAGTTGCAGTGAGATCAGGTGACTCAACACTGTGTCTGGTGCGTAGAAACCACTCAGTAAATGAGGATGAGAATCGTTTTTATGAGTGAATTTCAAGACCTCTCCCTCTTTTTAAAGATTTTGTTTGTTTGAAACACAGAGTGACAGAGAAAGAGGGAGAATCAGATAAATCTTCCACCCACTGGGTTATCCACCAAACATATGCAATAGCCAGGGCTACACCAGGGTTACACCAAAGTTGGGCCCAGGATTGCTTGGGCGGGCAATCATCCGCCGCCTCCCAGATGCATGGAAGCCTAGAGTAGGCTGGATGCTAACCAGGCATTCTGACATGGGATATGGGTGCCCCAGGTGGTACCTAACCCACTGTGCCACAAGGTTCACCCCTCAATTCCTTTTTAGTACTTTTGGTCCCTTCTTTGTGTTCTCCTTTCTCTTTCCTCCTCTCTGCCTCCCTGTCAGCATCCTCCCACAGTGCTTTACCCACGGTAGCACTCTGGTACTGCACGGATCTTTCCACATTTCGTCATGGTTCTGTAATCTTAAGGAGGACATACTAGCCTTAAGGGGTATTGCTACACTGTGCTGCATGTTGCCTTTCTCGCGTTGGATGCTGTATGGAAGTACCTCCAGGTCCTCAGGTGGTCGGTGTGGAGCGCTGTCACATTTGATGTGCGTTCCCTTTGTTTTTAGTTTTCTTTTTCCAAACTATTATTTTTACTGATAGCCTTCTTTAATTAGATTGCAGGCATCCAGCCTGCTTATCCATCTTGTTAACTTAAGTTCTAGGCCTTTGAGAACGAATGTGAAGTAGTATTTTAGTATAATGATGCCTCTTGTCCAGATAGGAGCTATATTTTCTGAGGATTCTCGCCAGGTCCAACACAATGATGAGCCATCTATTTTAACTGATTTTTAATTGTAAAAATAATTAGTAAATTCATCATTTGTACCCAGATTAGTTGTATGTAATGGGTATTTATTTGAAATAAGAAGGAAAGCAAAGGTTCTTTTTTTTTTTTATTAACAATCTGTTGAAAATCAGAATATGCAGGAGATTTGTTGGGGTTTGTTGATTGGCATCTTTCTTTTCATTTTAGTTACAGAACGTGTTTGTTATTTCCAGATAGGGGTTTGTTCTGGTTATCTGTTGCAGCACCACCAAATGTAATGCTTTCCCATGACAACAGCATTTTATTTCTCAGGAACCTGGTTGAGGCTCAGCTGGATGGCTTTTCTGCTGGTTTTGCTTGAGGCCCGTTACGTGATTACAGTCAGGTGGTAGACGGGGCTGGAACATTCAAGTGGTTTTTCCTCAAATGGTGCCACCCCGCGAATGACTTGGGCCCTCGTCTCCATGTAGTTTCAGGACCTCTCCTTGTAGGTGGCCTTGCCAACCGGGAGCTGGACTACCATGTGGCAGCCCGGGGCTTCTTAGGCCTTCTTTAGGCATGGGGCTTGAGTCGGCCCCACATCACTTCACCTCACTCTGTTGGTTGCAGTGAGTTATAATGTCTGTTCAGATTCTGTGGGAAGGATGACTCAGGACTGGAGTTCTGAGCGTGGTCCACTGGGGGCAATCATTGGGTACTGGCTACCACAGAGTTCATTTTCTCCCATAAGGAGACATGCAGAGCTCAGCAGGATGAGGGGGTACTGCAGCTTACCATCTTTCCAGTGCCCCCGCCTCCTCTCTCTCTGCTTTGTCTCCTCTGGCCTCATGGTCATGTGACAGCTGCTCTGCCTCCTGCCCCATGTCCTTGTTATAGGCAGAGAGAAGCAAAGCTCTAAAGAAGGGAGGTAGCATCTTTGTCAGGAAATGTAGGTCTTCCCTGAAATTCTTAGCAGGATTCTGCTTGTGTCTCTTTGGCTAGAACTTCAGGACATGACCACCCCTTCATGCAGGGAAGTCTGGGGAATGCATTTTTTAGCCTAGCTCACTGCCACCCTTTGGTCAGTAAGGAAGAAGGGAGAGAATGGATGTTTGGTTAGGTGTGTACAAGTCATCTGTTCAGATGGCCACAAAAGTGGGTAAGCCAGGCAGTGTGTGCATTCATTATCAACGTTTAGTGAGTCCCTCGGATGGGCAAGACACTGCGCTTCTTACAGAGGCTGTAGGGGTCAGAGAAGTGAACACTTTCAGGGGTCGGTTAAACTGACCAGATCATTTGCAGGCCTTGACCAGATAACTGCTCAGCTCATCTCTCTCCTGTAGATGTCTGAAGTTAGACTGATGCTAACAGTAGCCTGCCTCATTAAGGACTTGGCTTCTGCGGAGGAACTGTCATGAGTGCTTTTCATGAACCAACTCATTTGAGCTTCAGTGGCCCTAAGAAGTCGGCACGGTTAGCATCCCCTTCCTCTGAGAGGTTAAGTCACTTGCTTGCTGTATGTGCCGTGGTG